GTTTCATGTCGGGATGCGCCACGCATTCTACCACCTCTCAGAAATTGCGGCGTTTGAATGCTTTGACCACTGTGATGGCTACCGGGCTCGTCTTCCAAGTATGCCGATAGAGTCAATTTTTCATTCTCCTAGACGTTACAGGTAACAGATAACGGACTCTCAATGTCGGTAAGCCTCAGCTGGCCTCAGACGCATCAAGCATTTGACCTCGATATTGTGTGCGCGTAAGTTGCACAATTTGCAACCTTCCCACCCCAGATGACAATATATAAAACAAAAATTAAGAAAAAATGAGAATATATCAAAATTTCGCTATCAAAGAAAGAAATGAGACAGATCAAATAAACAAGCGTATTGACGTCAATACTAAATTTGCTAAATATGTGCACAAATATAGGTAGCACAGTGCTTGCTCGTTCTCGCACCGACACCAAGGGCTCGTAGTGACGCTGGTACGGAAAACTCTACACCCTTCATAACATCACCACCACTGACACAGGTAATTTCTTAGATATTCCACGATTTTGTTTTAATCAGACCCGCTACTCTTCCGAAGCTGATTTGAACATATATTCAAGTGCACAGGATGAGTGCTTTAGTGGACACCTTTTCTGATTTTAAGGCAAGTCAAATGTCCTGCATCAAATCAACTTTACAGAAAACTCATGTTGATGCTATTCCACCATTTTTGTTCAAGTGTTGAAATATTTATGCACAGCAATATTTCAGCCATCGACTGCACCTGTATTTGGGGGATTTCCTCCGGCGCTTCCTTCCGGCACTACTGTTCCACGTGAGAATTGTTTATTGAAATTCCTGCTTCAAAAATAAGTATCCCCTTTTCTGGACTATAAGGCGTACACGGGGCACACCTTCACCTCGTATGGGGCGCACTTTCGCCCGAACGCCGCGAATGTTCTCTCGGACTGTCCTTTCGCGTATTATTTGATTGTCCCCACCTAAGTGAAGGAAGTGCACTGAACAGAAAGTGTTCGAAAAATCATCAATCGGAATCCGCAAAAAAATTTAGACAAGTCGCAGTCACTTTTGGAAACTTTTCGCGCGAGGGGTCGCGTGCGAAATCGCCTTCTACCCCAGAAGAGAGCCTAAATGACGCTTTTGCTTGCCTTTATTTATGGACTTCCATACAGAACGTATCCACTTCAGAGCCTTCTGCGACTACAACTCCGCCATCACCTTTGGCTCCGTTGCTAAGCCTCCTGAGCGGAGGCGCACCATCGCCTTTCACTCTACCCACGCCTCCTCCGCCACCGACTACTACAACCGTACCACCTATAGATATTTGCAGTTTGCCTCCATTGACGGGCACCTGCCGTCATGCTAGGATAATGTGGTGAGTAGAAAAACTTCCAGGGCGATGCACTTTGAACTAAAAATCGGGTAATTTCAATATGAAGCCCAAAGCCTCATAAATTTGAAAAAAAAAAGTTTTTTAGGTACTATGACAACGAAACAGGAATGTGTGAGCGTTTCAGCTTCAGCGGTTGCGGAAATATGAACAGGTTCTCGAGCAAGATGCAATGCGAAATGACTTGTCTTCGACGGGGTCGAAAGTAGATAGAAATAAATAAATATATCTATATATCATCATTATTGACAGTGAAAACAGTGAATGGACACATTGCTAGCAAAACTCACTTGTGGTAGGTGTCGATGAGAACACTTCCGACAGCACTTAAAAGCGATCCTGCTCGCAAAACGTCCTCATAGTCGCTGTTCTGAACATTGTGAAAGATCAGTGTGGGTATTTTCGGACGATGAGATGGGCAAAAACAGTGCAAAAGAAAGTACAGAAAATACGGCTACCTTGAAGCTTCGTCGCCCCAAGACCGCGCGTCATGGTGATGGCCGCTTTCATGCTGTGCAACAAGGGAGACAGAAGAACCAGAAAGTTGTTCTCCTTTCTTGAGAACAAGGTTTTCATCTAATTTTTCCCAATTTAATTTTTCCTGACTCTATTTCAACACCTTCACGACGAGCCGTATTTCTTTCATGAATTGCCCGTGGGAACGTTTTTCTTCGTAGAAAATTAACAATTTTTGAATAAATGAATGGCTACGGTCAAAGTGTTTAAGAAATGCAAGATACGAGTATACGAATCTCGAATCTTTGACACAATTTAGCTTTTATTGCTCCAATCTTCCAAAACCAGGTCATTTTTACCAACTTCTTCCTCTGGAGGCAGATTTGGCTGAAAATTTGTCTGCCGGGGTAGTTTGACCTCCTAAAGATCATTATTGCATCCCCTTGGCCCAGAATGTTTGTTCTTGAACTAATTTTATGAAAAGAAAATGAACAACAATTGCAGCATTGGGTGACGCCGTCCCACAAGACAAAGTGGCTTTCGTCCACCATTGACGGAAATCGTCGTCAACGCATCAAGTGGATATGATATTCTTGTTTAGGGGTCGAACTACCCCTAGGGACAAATTTTCAGCTTTTGGTGATTTACGGTATTTTGGCGCCGGCGCCTGTGGCGCGGGCGCCAGGCGGTTCTCGTGGCAAGCGATTGTGATATTCGTGTTCACGGCGTCAAACTACCCCACGAGCCAAGTTTTCAACTAATTTGGTGATTTACGGTATTTTGGCCCGGCGCCTGTGGCGCGGGCGTTAGGTAGTTCGTGCCAAGCAGCTGTGGTACGCATTTCAGAGGAACAAACTACCCCCAGGACACCTTTACGACAAACTTGGCTGTTCGCCCATCTTTATTCTTAGAAAATATACTGGCAGACACCATTGTCTGCCATCGTCCCATGAGACAGACTGGCTGTCAGCCACCATTGTCTGCCATCGTCGTCAACGTGTTAAGGCCCTCTACTGCACTTTCCCCGAGTAGAACCTTCTCTTCTTGTAATCGGCTGTATAGATGCTATTTCGAGAGTAGTAGGAGTTCTGGGGAAGTCTTTACTCCAGGCTAGTCGAACCCTTCACCAAGTTTATTGGGTGAGCGCGTTATCCAATAGTTGCCTCGTAAGCCTAAGCGGCATTTTCGAGTCCCATGTGGTGCCAGAACTTTTGCAACCCAGCGTTCTTGAGATAACTTTTGGAGCGCGAATTGTGGCCTTAGCACAATCATCACAAAAAAACCTCTGTTATTAGTTTTTCGACCATCCTTCTCGTAGACTTTGCTTCTATGTTCCCGTCTATCGGAAATGTCTTTCAAAAGTTGACGTTTTCGAGAATAACAGTAGGTTTTAACTCAGACGACCTCGTAAACGTTTGCGCGCGAAGTGATTTCAACGCCCGCGGACTTTTGTAAGGGCGCCTTTGTTTGCGGGACTTGAGAGTGCTGAATTACCCTTTCTCTCTAACCAACAGCGATATACAAGAAAAAAAATCGTTGAGAATTTCGATATTTTCCCTAAGAAAACCTAAGTCCTACCGGATTCACACTGATGAGATGGTTGTTTCGCATGACATCTGTAAGAGCAGTAACCAGTGAAAGCTTCTTAGACGGTGGCATTCCTTTCTGGATCAGAGCAGATACAGCACGCACTGCCGCCTAAACATCAGCTGATAACCTGCCCACTTTAAGAAGTCATAGAAAACAAAGAGTAGCCGAGAACTAATAGAATGACTGGGAAGAGCCCATTCAAAAGAGTGGCGAAAAAAAAACTCAAAATGAACAATGAGCTGGGGAAAGGTACCAATCAGTCAGTTACTTACTTCGGATATTTCCTTGTTCCCCAATCGAGCTATTACAAGCGGTACAAACACATCATTGGCAACCAGTTCTACATCGATCCAATCAACAAATGCTGCAACAGCGTCAAGGCAAAGGCACTGCGCCGTTACATCCGAGCAACGCTCCTGTCATAATAAACGCTTATAAAAGTAAAGAAAAGTCCTACAATAAACCAAAAGAAATCTTAAGTGTTAAGATAGCTCAAAGAGGAAATAACACACCAGTATTGTCCACCAACTTTGCACAATTTGCGAAATGCACAGATCACGCATGAAGTCTTTGATTTTGGTATTACGATCAAAGATCTAAACAGAATGATTTGCTACCAAATTAGAGAAAAAAAGAAAAGAAAAACTAAGAAGAAATCTGTCTTCTGTGAAAGGTGAATGTCCAACAGGGATGAGCAAGAAAAATGTTGCTGCCTCCATGGGATATTTTGAATTAAAAATTGAAATTTTTCAACTAGCTACTGCTGCGGCAGAAACCTCCAAAATAGTTCTTTTTGGACGAAACCTTGGCTGCAGGGACTGCGCGGGTCTTTGATCATGAACGTGAGATCTCATTTGTCATTGGCGCCATATGGCGCCAGTAGGCGCCATTTCGGCGCTAGCAGTCTTTTTGGCACCGAATGCGATAGAAACCTCCATAGCTAGGCTGACATCCTTGTCACGAATATCGTTGCCTTCCAGTGTTGGCGCCACCTGGCGCCAGCGATCTTTTTGACACCGAATTCGATAGAAATGTGTCGGTGTGGCCGTCTATGGATTATTGTAATGTGTGAAAAGCAGAACAGCGGAAAGAAGAATCTCCAAGGAAATTCTTAGAAACAGAAGTTATGGCACACATTTTGGAAATCACGATCGCGCTAAAAAGTGGGCGTGATCGCAGAGGGCGGGGCATGATGGCATCCAATAGGGTCAAGGATGGTTGAAATAGCAGTCCCTGCACGATTGACTAATCATTTTGCGAAATTTGACATAGCGGCAAAAAAGTGGTCCACGAGGGACAATATGAGCCACCGGTGGCTCAAAGCGGACGCATGCGAAAACACGCCATTGTCCCACGCGGCTTTCCCGCAAAACGCGATTGTCGTCAACGTGTTAAAAAGTGCGAGTAAATTGCTGTTAATGCCGATTTCGGCGAATGACAAAGGTTGTAGCGTTTGCCGTCGGACAGTACCGTCGACTGGCCGGAACAGTTGAAATGGCACAGTTTCATGTTGGGCGAATGAGGCGAAAAGCCATGTATCGGAATTGTTCGTGCCCCAGAACTGCTCTACAATACAGTCTGGCACTATGACGAGCAACGGTGGCCTTCTTGTAGTTGTGTGGTACCATCCATTTGTCGATCTGATTGCCGAGGAACAGGCAATATACATCGACAGCAACGATTTTGTTCTCTATGTAGAAGATTTTGTTCTCTATGTAGCCGCTCGAAAGCCACAGTGCAGAAATCCTTCGCTATGATGATCATCCACTTGGGCCCACGTAACTCCTCATGGTAGAATTCGGGCGGCTTCTCATCTGCATTCATACAAAATTGACGATTGTGAGTTTGGCTCGAGGTCCAAGACCACCCATATTTCATCTAGGGCCGGGGTGCGTTTTCACAGTCGTGAATGACATCTCATGCTGAGAACATTACTGCTAGAGGCATAGAATCGGTACTGAATTCGCTTCTACAAGAAAATTGGGTACCCATGCGCACACCCTCTTGACCATCCTCGTTTATCGGACATAACTCGGGCAGCAGTTGCAGCAGGGATGTCAGTCTCGCGGGGAAGCTCGACAAGGTCCAGCTCTGTGATCAGACATTCAGCGCTTGACTTCATCCACCCTTTTTTCTTGTGCAGGATGAACTATGGGACCGCTTACAACAACAGATTGTTCCTTTCTTCCTTCTTCGGCCCGTCAACTTAATCTTCCACCCTGCAATTTGAGAAGCACCATTACGCGCAACTACTGGTCCGGCACAGGTCAAATTTGAGCAGCACACTTTCCTCTTATGACGCCTGGTTCGAAAATCCGGCACTGATTTTGACCACTCGGGCTTGATTTTGACCACTCCGGTTTCTTTTCAATTTCTCGAGAACTAGGTTCGCCACATTTCCCAGATAGATGACTAAAGGTGCTAACTTTCAAGTGATAAAGTAGCTCACTTCCCTATCCACTTTGCTTTCCTGCTATTCCTCTATACGTCACCATATTTTCAAAAGGGATGACCCAATACTTTCACTTAGCTACAGCCAGACGACTCCCTTTCTCCTTTTTGCTCTTGGTTTTCATGGAATATTTGCGACGGATCCACAGGATTTCAGAGCCAGCTATTATTGTCTCTCATACCACCATCTCCGCATCATTGCCTCTTAGTCCGCATAGCGATTGACTGACAAAGATGGCAGTAAAGGATGACTAATGGGCTCATTACCGCAACAGTGCATGCAAGAAATGGGTTGCCGTCAAGGAAAATTGACACTAAAAACCCAAGACAGCAATTGACAACGAATGACTGGGCTTTCATTGTTTCACTGTGGGTGGGGCTTCATTGGAGTTATAATAGGAGACTCCACATGGACTTCTCAGAAACTGGCACTATTGGCAAAAAAGATGAAGGGCAGGAAACTGCTGATGCATATTCGAGAGCTGGTCCAAACGGTAAAATATTTGTTTCTCCACGTGCACACTCACTTTAAGAGAAGCTAACTGCTATGTGTAAGGAAAATGGGTCCGCAGCTGCAGTATCGTGCCAGTTTCTCCGCTCGAAAGAGCCCAGAAACGGAGCTAAAGATACTAGTTCCCAGTGCTGCATTTATACCCCGCCCACGTTCTCTTCACTGCAGCACTCAGTCAATTCTGAGGCTCCTGCAAGTGACAAGCGCAGACTCAGCGATGAAGAACAACCAAATTTTTAAGAGGCGCGGAGCAAGCTAGCTTCGCTTCTGGCTATTCTTAGGATGGCAGCTGATGTCGGCGCGCCCCGGTTTGGGGGCACGCTCGGGGAATTAAGGTCCTCGATCGTAATCATTGCGGACTGTCGGGGCGGCTGAGCCGCGCTGCACTGTGACGCGACAGCGGCTGCGGCTCGGTGACGGCGAATCAGCTGATTTCCATGGAATTCGGCTGCGAATTCCCACTTTTTCAGCTCTTCAAGCTTCGAAAGTGGAAGGTGAGTTATTTTGAACAATTTTAAATTGTACTGGCTCTGAATGAATCTGAAAGAATGCAAGCCATTTGAATAAATGCCTGAAATAAGGCAAAATACAAGGAAAAGAGCATAATAATCGACATAAAAATAAAGGAAATTAGAGCCAGTACAATTTAAAATTGTTCAAAATAACTCACCTTCCACTTTCGAAGCTTGAAGAGCTGAAAAAGTGGGAATTCGCAGCCGAATTCCATCGAAATCAGCTGATTCGCCGTCACCGAGCCGCAGCCGCTGTCGCGTCACAGTGCAGCGCGGCTCAGCCGCCCCGACAGTCCGCAATGATGAGGACTGTGCTACCCTGCAGTCCCATTCCCGTGCACTTTGACACTTTGACGGAGAAAGTGGCGCTTGACTGCAGCCACGAACCTCCACACATATGGCAAGGACCAGAGGTGAGTAAGGAGTTTGCCCTCAAAGCAAGCAACGAACTAGAGAGCGACCCTAGGTCAAACTGGAACTTTGGGGTAAAACATGAACCATCCGATGCTCTTCTTATTGTTAGCGCTGATCTCAGATCCTCTTTCGGAATTTGCCGAAATCTTCTCTGAGCGAAGTAAGGGAGTTTTACATCGTCTCTTGGGGCGGCCCTTATTAGTCGTTTGACGTCATGTTTCAACTAGATGGTCTTCATCAGTGGCTTGGCTCACGGTTTGGAA